GTGCGGGGGGGTGTCAGAGGTCCACTGGTGATCCCCGATTGATCCTAGGGAAGGGTTACAGGCATGGCGGCCTGGGGGGTTATGGGCGCATTCACCCGCTACACAAACAAGCCCTTTTATCCCAGTGGTTAGTGGCTGGGATTCTGACATGGTATCAGAGCGAAGGTCTCGGGTTCGAATCCCGGTGTGTGCACCTCGGGCATCCCAGTGCGGGGGGGTGTCAGAGGTCCACTGGTGATCCCCGATTGATCCTAGGGAAGGGTTACAGGCATGGCGGCCTGGGGGTTATGGGCGCACTCACCCGCTACACAAACAAGCCCTTTTATCCCAGTGGTTAGTGGCTGGGATTCTGACAGCACCAACCCTTAACTACCCCCGTAATAAGAATTTAAATGTCTAATCCAAAATTCAGCATTCGATGTGGGTTTGGATTATACGGGGCACGAGAAGATAGTAGTGTTTAGCAACCTCATAGGCCTCCGCGAGACAAATTCGGGGACTAACACGTAACGCTATCTGTGGGTGTTTCCCCAAATTTTATTCTGCTGGTGACTTTCACGGCGAGGATGTTTTCGTGACCAAACTGGTCGCACGTACGGTCGCTTGGTTTGGGCGTTTGCTGAATCGGTCGTTATCGTGGTCATTTGGCGGGAAAATCTCGCATCCCTCGCCATCGTGCTACTCTCTTCGTATTCGCATGCCCCGACCAAATGGTCGGATTTTGGCTTCGGTCATCGCAATGTTACACGCCCTAAGTAAAAAAGTGTATCTACAGAGATGCTAACGACGTGTTGCGACCCACCCGGGTCGGGTCGACCATCCCACGATCCCGAATTTCTAGGAAGCCCGCACTGCCGACCTACCCGACCAGGTCGACCCGTCCCAACCCAACCCGGGTTGGGTCGACCCGGGCCAACCCGGGTCGACCAAGTCGGGTCAACCAGGCCGACCAGACCCAACCCAACCGAGCTGGAGCAGGTTACCCGAGCTTGCGAAATTTGTAGTTCTCGCGTGGATGTCACCTGCATCTCGTTTAACAAAAAGATACCCGGTAATATCGCCAAACATTGCCTCGCCCACCTTCCACCTGCGGAGCACTTGCTTTCTCTTTACTTCGAATTTGCTGAGAAGGCAACGGGAAATTCTTTGTTTTCTCGAGTCGCCTTTTGGTTGGGTTGGGTCGGGTCGGGTCTACCCGGCCTGGTCGACCCGACCCGACCCGGGTGGGTCGCAACACGTCGTAAATTCCTCGTCACCCCCCTCAGATTTTGAGGCTGTGCGAAAGTTCCTGGATACAGTAGAAGTCAGCAATGGGCGCTGTCTGGAGGATCACTGTTCAGTGTAGGCTGGTTGTCGGCTCTGTTTGACATGTCCAACTTACAGAACACTGTAGCAGGGGAATTTGCAGGTTTGACCTGCAAGTGGCGCCAGGCGGTTGCAGGAGGCCGGAGAAAATGACAACGGGGGTAGCTAATGTCCAGCTGTGGAACTTACTAACCTGCCTCGCATTGGCTCTGCTTGCTGCCCGTGAACCCGCGCTGTAACTGTGTTTGGATGGTGACTGTTGGAGAGGACATGTCCTCCCCCTCCGATCCCGCGTCTCGTCCAGGAGGGCATACCGCCTGCGTCTTGGTACAGTGTGGCTGTATTTTTTTATACGTTTTACTGTAATTGCTAGTGAATTGCAGGTGTGTGCGTGGCACTGATTATCTAACGCATGTGCGTAATTATCCAATGTGTTTTGTGAATGTACGTCGGTATGCCCCGCGGCTTTCGTCCGTTCCGCGTTTTACTGTAGTATTTTGAAGCAAGAAATCAAGGTCCTGTTTTTCTGTTCCCAACTTGAAGAAAGGACCTCCTTCCTTCGCCAAGCCGCCCGTTTCCCCCCGAGGGCATGTGTACAGTAATGTACACTTGTGGCACCTGCACTGTACGGTCCGCCGACCAAAATATGGAGACGAGCTGCATGGCATTGCGTGCGCGTTCTGAGGAAACCCGGGAAATGGACGACAAGAAAATGCTGTCACGTCATGTCACGCGTGCAGAAATGCCGAGGAATCATTTTTCCACCGCCGCTGGTTAAAGATGAGGACGACCGCATGACTCGCAGCGATTGGTCAACAATATTCTGTTGCGCACGTCACTCTGAACGAGAGCCAGTTGTTTATCGATGAATTCAATGCAACCTCCGCCACTCGAAATAAACCAACTTTTTGATAAGAAAAATATTAACTGCTAAAGATGTGGCCTCAAACTCTTCCCGTGTTGAGTCAAACGCCAGTACAAGGTCCTTCTTCGTCAATGTCGACGTGATTGTGCCAGCTTAGTATTCCTTTCAAGGGTGTAACAGAAACTTTCAGTAAAGCAAACCGCTTGTGCTGACTAATAAAAAGAGGAACCTTCTCCCTTGCCAGCATAGCATTCTCTTGCCTATTTCCACCGCATTTTCTCAGCTAGCCGTTCAACCATAGACGCGTCGAACTTCCCTCGGGTCCGTGGAATCCGTGCCCTGCTGGCATTTCTCGTCAGGCCCTATCTTACCGCGTAAAGCTGAACATTCAGGAAGTTAGTGTACCATGGTCGTGACTGTGAGCTCCACTTTATCCCGATTTTCCGTTACTTGCCTAATCAGCAAAGGGGACTTTAACGTCGCCCGTCGTTGTTCCAAGCCAATTGCAACTACTACTGGGGGGACGACGATTTACCTCAAAAGGTTCCTCAGGCGGCCTATTACATTCAGATCCAATCACACCATCGCACCTAATGCAGCGGCAAGATCAAATTGTTTAAGTAAACTCCAGCGATCACTACAAAGAACATTCTTGAATAATAAACACCCTCCGCAACAGCCGCCGTTCATCTTTGGCGGTAAGGCGTTGACTTGCAAATTTACTTCGCACATTATGATATGACCGTTGGCGCGCCTGGGAACAATGCACAGTGGTTCTGCCGGAATAACGAGGAGCAACGAACATGGCATCAACGAAATTGATTAGTTTTGTAAAAGTTAGAAAAAAATATCTTATCTCGTAATAATTTCTCGTTTATAGCCTGATATGGTTGCATCTTTACCACTTCCAAGTTTTATTTAGTTGTTTGTTTGTTTTTTTTTTCTTCTTCTTCCGTTTTCTATCCGTCCTCTTCCCGTGGGAAGGAAGAAAGAGCTAACTTGCTTCCCTGTCCCCTTGTTTTCCTCCCCCTCACTCCCCCTCTCGCCTCAATCTCCCATCATGCATGCCCCCACCACCCCTCCCCTCCCCTCTTTCATCGCCCTTCCCCTCCTCCTTGGACGGAAGAGCAAACTCGCCCCACTATCCCCTTTGTTTGCCTTCCTCCCCCCCCCTAAGCACCACCCTCCGACTCGCCTCAAGCGCTAATCATCCAAACCCCCAACGCCCCTCCCCTCCCCTCTTTCATCGCTCTTCCCTCCTCGGAAGGAAGGGGAAGAGCCAACTCAATCATCATCCAATCCAAGCCACCACCATCCACGACCAGATCTGCTGCGCCTCAAAAGCCCCTCTTGTGATGAGTCGACTTTTGAGTCGACTCAAAAATCGACTCGGAAGGAAGGAAGAGCCAACTCGCCCCCCTGGCCCCTTTGTTTCCCTCCCCCTCACTCCCCCTCTCCCCTCAATCTCCCATCATACATGCCCCTCCCCTCCCCTCGTTCATCGCCCTTCCCTTTGTTTCCCTCCCCCCTCTCCCCTGAGCCCCCCTCCGACTCGCCTCAATCTCTCATCGTCCAAGCCCTCAGCATCCACCGACCAGATCTTTGAGGCGCCTCAAAAGCCCTCAAAAGCCCTCTTTTTGATGAGTCGACTCAAAAATCGCTCCAGCATCCACGACCAGATCTGCTGCGCCTCAAAGGGCGATCTTTGATTAGTCGATTTTTGAGGCGCCTAAAAAATCGCTCCAGCATCCACGACCAGATCTGCTGCGCCTCAAAAGCCCTCTCTTTTCTCCCCTTCTCCCCCTCCCTCCCCCCCCTCCCCTCCCCATCCCTCCCCCCCCTCCCCTCCCCCTCCCTCCTCCCTCTCCCCATCCCCATTCCCCGTTGTCAGCATGACCAGATCTGCTGTGCCGTGAAACAGATCTGCTGTTTCCACCTTCAACAGTCCCCCCCTTGCCCTGTCAGCAAGCAGCAAGCTCCAGTGTTAGACTCCGAGACGCCTCAAAAGCCCTCTTTCCTCCGCCCTCCTGTCCCCATCCCCCGTTGTCAGCATGACCGGATCTGTTGTGCCCTGTCAGCAAGCAGCAAGCTCCAGTACTAGACCTTTTGAGACGTCACGAAAGCCCTCTTTCCTCTCCTTCTCCCCCTCCTTCCTCCCCCTCTACAGTGCATGAAGAAGTGTTTTGAGACGTCTCAAAACACCTCTTCCCCCCCTCCTCTCCCCCCTCCCCGTTGTCAGCATGACCGGATCTGCTGTGCCGTGTCTCCGCCTACAGTCCCCCTCCCCCCCCCCTGCCCTGTCAGCAAGCAAGCGCAGCCGTAACAGACTTTGAGATGTCTCAATAACCCCCCCCCCCCCCCCCCCCCTCCCACCGCCCCTCCTCGTTGTCAGCATGACCGGATCTGCTGGTGTCCTCTCCCAACATTCAACAGTCCCTCTCTTGCCCTGTCAGCAAGCAGCAAGCTTCAGTGATAGACTTTGAGACGCCTGTTCTCCCCTTCTCCCCCCTCTTTCTCCCCCCCCCCCCGCCTCCCCCCCCCCCTCTCACATCTCCTTCCCCCCTCCCCCCCCTCCCGCCCCTCCCCATTGGCATGACCAGCTTTGCTGCGCCCTGTCTCTAAGACGGTCAAAATTCCCTCCCTTGCTGCGTCAGCAAGCGTCAGTGCCAACTCAGACCAAGATCCTTTGGAAATATCTAACTCCTTCGCCGGGCCAGCCCCCACCGGGCAGTCTAGAAAAGTTTCTGAGCTGACCGGCGCGGGCGGTCAAGGAGGGTCTGCTATGGCAAATGATGGGGGTTCTAGCGGGTTTTGGAAGCGTGCAAAAGAAATGGAGGCTCCCTTGTAAGTTCCCTTCCCATCCTCCCCCTCTCCCTCCTCCTGTAAGTTCCCTTCTCATCCTCTCCCCCTCTCCTCCTCTCTCTCCCATTTTCTCTTCCTCGTTCGCCCTCTTTCCAGTTGCTCTTGATTTAATTTATCCCCGTCCCCTTTCCCTCTGCCCCTCATATCCCCCCCCCCCCCCCCCCCCCCCTCTCCGCCCTCGCACCCCCTCTCCCCATCCGTTTCCCCCTCCCCCCCTCCCCCTCCCCCTCCCATTCCATTCCCCCCATCAGGTTCGCCAAGTTGTCATTCTCCTTCCCTCCAATGTTTGGGGACGTGCGGGACGACCCCCACCACTGGCGCTCAAACCCTCCCTCTGCCTCTGCTCTTCCCTCCCTCTCCCCCCACCAGCTGCGCCAAGCCCCCATTCTCCTTCCCTCCAATGTTTGGGGACGTGCGGGACGACCCCCACCACTGGCTGTGGGACGAGAGGCGCAAAGAGGAACCAACAGTGTACTGTAAACCCCCTATCCCCTCCCCCGCCCACTCCCCCTCCCCCTCCGCCCATCAGGTGCGCCAAGGTCCCATTCTCCTGTCCCCCAAATGTTCGGAGATGTGCGGGACGACACCCACCACTGGCGCTCTAACCCCCCTGCCGTCCCTTCCCCCCTCCCCTTCCCCCCATCAGGTGCGCCAAGGTGCCATTCTCCTGTCCCCCAATGTTCGGAGATGTGCGGGACGAGACGACACCCACCACTGGCGCTCTAACCTCCCTGCCGCCCCCTCCCCCTCCCCCTCCCCTTCCCCCCATCAGGTGCGCCAAGGTGCCATTCTCTTTCCCCCCGATGTTTGGGGACGTGCGGGACGACCCCCACCACTGGCTCCGGGACAAGAAACGGGATGAGTACACAACTGTGCACTGTGTAAACCCCCTCTCCGCCTCAGCTCTCCCCTCCCTCCCCCTCCCCCTCCCCCTCCCCCTGCCCTTCCCCCCATCAGGTGCGCCAAGGTCCCCTTCTCCTTCCCTCCAATGTTTGGGGACGTGCGGGAGGACCCCCACCACTGGCTCAGGGACGAGAGGCGCGAGAATCCGGACGTCCTGGCGCATTTGGCGGCAGAAAACGCGCTCATAGACGCCCTACTGCCTTCATGTGGTGGTGGTGGAGGCATGGGGTGTGTGGGGGGGAAAGGAGTGGGGGAAGGAGGGGAAGAGGGGCCGTCCCTGCGGGTGCTGCTGGAAGGGGAGATGAAAGCGCGTGTGAAACAGGAAGACAGGAGTGTTCCCTTAAGGTGGGCTTCGAATGAAGGGGCGCTATGCAGCCTGTGCTGTGCGTGTGTGCTGTTTGTTCTTATCAGTTTTTTTTTTTTTTTAGTTTTTTTTTTTTTTTGGTAAGAAGCTCATTTGTTTTCTCCTGCTTCACTTTGCCCTTGCCCGAACGCAGAAAGGGTAACTTCTGGTACTACACCCGAGAGGAGGAGGGTAAACAATACCCCATCCACTGCAGGAGATCAGCCGCAGCAGACTCTGCTGCAGCTACTGACACTGCAGCAGCAGCACAACCCTGCGAACCGAGAGATTATTTCTCCGAGAGCATGGATGAAGGGGTTCCAGAGGAGGTAGTGTTAGACGAGAACAGGGAGGCGGAGGGGCGAAGCTTTTTCCACATTGATAGTATTGCTGTGAGTCCAGACCATGGGTTCGTGGCGTATAGTATTGACACGAGGGGGGACGAGAGATATGCCATTCATGTCCGGCCTATCGGCTCTGGCTGTTCTGCCCCTGCTGCGGCAGCTTCAGCAGTACTTTCTTCCGATTTGAGTGCCGCTTCTGGAGTAGCATTGGCAGCGCCAGCTGAATCAGCAGCGGCAGTAGAAGCAGGAGGAGGAGTGTTAGAAGGAGCAGAGCAAGAGTTGGTTTTTGAGAATTCTCAAAAGTCAGGAGACTCAGCAGCAGCAGCAGTGAGGTCACTAGGCTTTCAAACAATACCAGCAGCAGCAGATAGATTAGCACCAGTAACACCTGCAACAGAAGCAGAGGGAACAGAAACAGATACGGACGTAATAACAGCCGAGTTTGGGACAAGTGGGGAGGTGTGCTGGGCAGACGACAACCAAACGCTCTTCTACGTCGCTCAGGACGAAAAAGACCGCCCGTGCTCGGTCATGCGCCACGTCATCGGCACGCCGGCGTCGCAGGACGCGCGCATCTTTTTTGAAAAGGACGAGGCGTTTGACGTGGGGGTTCACCGCACGTCGTCGGACCGATTCATTATAGTCACGTGTGGGTCGGCCGTGACTTCCTTCCTGCTGGCGATTGATGTGCAAAGGCCGTTAGACCCTCCCTGGCAGTTGGTCCCGAGAGTGCACGTGAGTAGCATATAGAATACTGCACCTGCATGGGCTGCTGCTTCATGCATGCATGTGTTGTTGTTGTTGTTGTGCACGTGGTGGTGTGATGTGTGGGTCGTCCGTGTCTTCGTTTCTGCTGGCAATCAATGTTCAAAGGCCGTTCGGCCCTCCGAGACAACTTGTGTCGAAAGTTAATGTGAGTAATAGAGCAGTTCCCCGTGCATGGGCTGCCGCTTAGGGCTGTTTGCTGGTTGAGAGTGCATGTGATAATATGAGTGGATTGTGTAGCATCAGTGCCTCAAACTCTTTCCTTTTCCTTTCCCCCGTCTCACTCTCCCCCATTCAGAACGTGGAGGTGTATGGAGACCACAGCGGCGCACACTTCTTCCTCCTCCGCCGCTCCGACCAGATGCGAAACTCGGAGCTCCTCGCGCTGCCGGTTGCTGATGCTGATGCTGCTGCAGCTGAGGCTGTGGAGCCCTTGGTGGTTCTCCCACACCATCCCAGGTGAGACGCTCTCTACCTCTGGAACTCAGAGCTCCTTGCGCTGCCGGCTGCTGATGCTGATGCCACTGCCGCCACGATCTCTCCCTCCTCACCCACTCTTCTTCCTCTCTCACTCTCCTCTCCTTCCCCTTCTGTCTCCTCTCCCTTTCATCTCTCCGCTCTCACTCTTCTCTCTCCCTTTTCCCCTTCTCACTCCCTTCTCTGGCATGGTTTGTAAAACCTTCACCCAGGAGTCCCTATTGTGAGAGGCTCCAAATGATAGAATTGGAGCTGAACTGATTGATTAGAATAGAAGGCACTAGGCCTTAAGTACAAACAAGGTTGGGTTGAGCAAAGCTAGGGAAAAGATGGGATGGGAATCCAAGCAAATCTCCAATGGTGAGTTGGCAGATTTGTTGGATTACAGGGGGAATCCCAACCGGATAGGGTCGGGATTACAAATCTACACCCAACCCACAAATAACCTACAGCATATAAATTAGAATACACAAAGTGTTGACAGCCTATTTCTAACACCAAATCCAGAACCTTTTGGCATTTGGCGTGAATTCTGTTCTCTCACCCTAAACCCAAAACCCCGTTCCCTTGTCTCCTACCTTTTACTGAATGCTTTTCAATCCCTTAGTGTGAAGCTCCAATCAGTGACGGCCTTCAAGCGCCACGTGGTCGTGTTTGAGAGGGTGAAGGGGCTCCAACGGATCAGATGCATCCCCTTGCAATCCGACGGCTCTCCTGCACCTGAAGAAGCCAAACTGTAAGCTTCCAACTAAAGCATTTCTGAATAACTTCCTGAAACATTTCTGCGCTTGAAGTTGCACCTGAATCATTACCTTATGCTCTTGGGACTGCATGTGACCGCGAGTAAATGATTTATTGGGAGGATCCCCCAAGGTAGCACATATGATTCACTTAAATGATTTCCCATTTGATTCACCTAAGGAACCACCAGAGCATTTTTTTGGCCTTTCTCCTTCCTTCTTGTTTGAGATTAGTTTTGAGAATTCTCAAAACTAATCTTTCTCCTTCCTCCACTGTCATTTCTTTCCCCTTGTGCGTGTAGCAGGTAGGACTTCAACGAAACAGCATGTGAGATCTGGCACCTTCAGAGCCGGTTTGAGTCAATTCAAGAACCACAAGCGCTAAGGCGTTTTATCCTTCCCGCACCTTCACCCATTCCTCTTGCTGTTGTTCCCTGTGCATGTAACAGGGTGGAAGATCCGGGCCCTCAGGAGCCGGTTTGGGTCGCTTCAAATGTCGCCTCGCAATGTGTTACCTTACCCTCATGCTCCTTTCACCACCCGAATACACACATCTCCTTGCTTTACCTGTAACAGGGTGGAATTTAACGAAGCAGCATATGAGATCCGGGCCTTAAGAAGCCGCTTCGAATCGCCCCTCCTCCGCTTCTCCTTCTCCTCCCTGGTCACCCCCACCACTGTGTTCGAACGAGACATGGACACAGGCAGACAGGCGGCTAGGAAAGTCGACTGGGTGAGTGTGTGTGCGCGTGTGTGTGGTGGGAAAGGTGGGTCTATGCATGAGTACACCATGCTCTTCTCTCCCTCGTCACCCCCACCACTGTGTTCGAGCGAGACATGGACACAGACAGACAGGCAGCTAGGAAGGTTGACTGGGTGAGCGTCTGTGGTCTGATGCATGGTGTGCCCTTGTGAGTCGCACCTCCTCCGCTTTTCCTTCTCCTCCACTCTTCGCTACTCAAGCACCAACGCATTCAACCATGTTCACTCCCTCTCCCCGTCTCTCCCCATCCCTCTCAACCTCTCCCCATCTATCCGTACAGGTCGGGCCATCCTTCAACCCATCGCTCTACTCCTCCCGCCGTCTCTTCGCCACGGCAAAAGACGGCACACAAGTGCCCATATCGCTCGTCCATCGCAACACCCCTGCCAGCGACTCTCCTGCTGATGCTGCTGCTGCTGACACTGACAGCACCGGCCCGCCTTGGCCCATGCTCCTCTACGCCTATGGCGCGTATGAGGTGAGTGGGAGAGCCAGTGACGAGCAGCAGCAAAAGACCCATTGCTCTACTCCTCTCGCCGTCTCTTCGCCACGGCAAGGGATGGCACTCAAGTGCCTATCTCGCTCGTTTATCGCAACAGCACTTCCAGCAACTCTCCTGCTGCTGCGGCTGCTGCTGCTGCTGACGGCACCGGCCCACCTTGGCCCATGCTGCTCTATGCCTACGGCGCATACGAGGTGAGTGAGAGAGTCACACAGTGGAAGTAGCAGCAGTAGCAGTACATGAGTCCATAGCATGAGTCCACACAGTCACACAGTACATGAGTCCATTGCATGAGTCCACACAGTCACACAGTACATGAGTCCATTGCATGAGTCCACACAGTCACACAGTACATGAGTCCATTGCATGAGTCCACACAGTCACACAGTACATGAGTCCATTGCATGAGTCCATTGCATGAGTCCACACAGTCACACAGTACATGAGTCCATTGCATGAGTCCACACAGTCACACAGTACATGAGTCCATTGCATGAGTCCACACAGTCACACAGTACATGAGTCCATTGCATGAGTCCACACAGTCACGCAGTACATGAGTCCATTGCATGAGTCCACACAGTCACACAGTACATGAGTCCATTGCATGAGTCCACACAGTCACACAGTACATGAGTCCATTGCATGAGTCCACACAGTCACACAGTACATGAGTCCATTGCATGAGTCCACACAGTCACACAGTACATGAGTCCATTGCATGAGTTCACACAGTCACACAGTACATGAGTCCATTGCATGAGTCCACACAGTCACACAGTACATGAGTCCATTGCATGAGTCCACACAGTCACACAGTACATGAGTCCATTGCATGAGTCCACACAGTCACACAGTACATGAGTCCATTGCATGAGTCCACACAGTCACACAGTACATGAGTCCATTGCATGAGTCCACACAGTCACACAGTACATGAGTCCATTGCATGAGTCCACACAGTCACACAGTACATGAGTCCATTGCATGAGTCCACACAGTCACACAGTACATGAGTCCATTGCATGAGTCCACACAGTCACACAGTACATGAGTCCATTGCATGAGTCCACACAGTCACACAGTACATGAGTCCATTGCATGAGTCCACACAGTCACACAGTACATGAGTCCATTGCATGAGTCCACACAGTCACACAGTACATGAGTCCATTGCATGAGTCCACACAGTCACACAGTACATGAGTCCATTGCATGAGTCCACACAGTCACACAGTACATGAGTCCATTGCATGAGTCCACACAGTCACACAGTACATGAGTCCATTGCATGAGTCCACACAGTCACACAGTACATGAGTCCATTGCATGAGTCCACACAGTCACACAGTACATGAGTCCATTGCATGAGTCCACACAGTCACACAGTACATGAGTCCATTGCAATTGCACTTCCTCTTCGACTGGGACGGGGAGGAGAATAACCGACTTTTCCCAGTCCCCATCAGTAGCAGGACATGACTGCCTCTATCTCTACTTTTCCCGTTCCCCAGGTGCCCTCGCGCCTGTCTTTCTCCCCTCACTGTCTCTCCCTACTGGATCGAGGGGTGGCAGTGGCCATAGCTCATGTGAGGAGGGGAGTGGAGGAAACATTGACTGGCCGCCTCTCTCCTTCCCCTGCTCCCACCCTCCCGTTTCCAGGTGCCCACGCGCCTCTCTTTCTCCTCTGATCGTCTCTCCCTACTAGATCGAGGGGTGGCAGTGGCAATAGCACATGTGAAGGGGGGAGGCGACTGGGACTATCAGTGGTACTTGGACGGGAAGTGGGTAAATCGTTGACTAACCAAGCATCTCATCCCTCCTCCCTCCCTGTCGCTCCCCAGGTGCCCACACGCCTCTCTTTCTCCTCTGATCGTCTCTCCCTACTGGATCGAGGGGTGGCAGTGGCGATAGCCCATGTGAGGGGAGGAGGCGACTGGGACTATCAGTGGTACCTGGACGGGAAGCTTCTGAGAAAGCGCAACACGGTGTGGGATGTGATTGCGTGTGCCGAGCACCTGATCAAGGAAGGGTGAGTGATTGAGGAAGGAGTGAGTGAGTGAGTGAGTGAGGGAGTGAGTGAGGAAGGAGTGAGGGAGTGAGTGAGGGAGTGAGGGAGTGAGTGAGGGAGTGAGTGAGGGAGTGAGTGAGTGAGTGAGGGAGTGTGTGTGTGAGTGAGTGAGTGAGTGAGTGAATGCCTTAAGGATCTTTTGAGGTGCCTCGAAGGGTGAGGTTTTGCCAACACGTTCGGAATGTGATTGCCTGTGATGTGCTGTACTGAACCCCTGATCAAGGCAGCGTGAGTGAGTGAGTGAGTGAGTGAGTGGGTGAGTGAGTGAGTGAGTGAGTGAGTGGGTGAGTGAGTGGGTGAATGAGTTAGTGGGTGAGTGATTGAGTGAGTGAGTGAGTGAGTGAGTGGGTGGGTGAGTGAGTGAGTGAGTGGGTGGGTGAGTGAGTGGGTGGGTGAGTGAGTGGGTGGGTGAGTGAGTGGGTGGGTGGGTGAGTGAGTGGGTGGGTGAGTGAGTGGGTGGGTGAGTGAGTGGGTGGGTGAGTGAGTGGGTGGGTGAGTGAGTGGGTGGGTGAGTGAGTGGGTGGGTGAGTGAGTGGGTGGGTGAGTGAGTGGGTGAATGAGTTAGTGGGTGAGTGAGTGAGTGAGTGAGTGACCGAGTCGGTTCTTACCTGTTCTCCCTCTGACCCTGGCGTTGCCTTACCATTCACCCGCCAGCCTCACCACTCCAGACCGGTGTTGGCCCTGTCAGCAGGGGACATGCATACCTGTGGGGGGGGGGCAGCAGGTTTTTGAGAATTCTCAAAAACCAGCTCGTATCATACCTGTGGGGGGGGAGCAGCAGGAGTGAACATACAGCCCCCCCCTGTCAGCCAGATGTTTCTTAATTCTGCTGGGAGGTAGTGAAAGGTCCTTAATTCTCCTCTCATCTCGACTCCCCTTCCCTATGTCTCTATCTCTGCCCTCTCCCTTTCACTACCTCCCTATACCCAGCCTCACCACTCCAGACCGGTTGGCCCTGGAAGGCAGGTCAGCGGGGGGCATACCCGTGGGGGCAGCCGTAAACGAACGGCCGGATCTGTTCCGATCGGCCGTGGCTGGCGTGCCGTTCGTTGATGTACTCTCCACCATGCTGGATGCTTCACTGCATCTCACCATCACAGAGTGGGAGGTGGGTTCAGCATCCCTTGCCACCACTCACTATCACCGAGCGTTTGCGCTGTGGGAAGCGTGTTTTGAGACGTCTCAAAACACTCCTTTGCCACCACTCACTATCACTGAGCGGGAGTGGGAGGTGTTTGGGCTGTGGGAAGAGTTGATTTTTTAGCGGGAGCGGGAGGTGTGTGGGCTGTGAGAAGCGGGTGGGCTTGTGATGTGAGTCCATGTTTGAGGCGCCTAAAGAATGTGTGTGCTGTGGGAGGTGGGAGGGCATGTGGGAGATGGGAGGGCATGTGGGAGATGGGAGGGCATGTGGGAGATGGGAGGGCATGTGGGAGATGGGAGGGCATGTGGGAGATGGGAGGGCATGTGAGAGATGACTCAAGAGTGCCATTTGTTACAATTCTCTCCTGTCCTCTGCGAGTCCCACAGGAGTGGGGCAACCCCCAGGAGGAACAGTATTATCACTACATCAAGTCGTATTCTCCTGTTGACAATGTAAGCTCCTTATCTTTTTCAAATTTGACTTGTGCATACATCACGAGGAGAAACAATGAGACATCATAATTGACTTTGAGAACTGAGTAACTCTAATGCTCCCCCATATATTGCTGACTTATATTTTTTTATTGTTACCCGCTTGTGCACTCTTCCGCGCGCTTTTTACCCCATCCGTCCTCTCTCTTCTGCCCTCTGCTCCTGCTTCTCCTTCTCCACAGGTGAAGCCCCAGGCGTACCCCAACATTCTTGCCACTGCTTTCCTTCCTGTCTCCCCCTGTAGTTTTCACCCCCCCATCCCTCCCCTGTACCTGCATTGCTGCCTCTCTCCTCCCCCTGCTCCTCCTCCTCCTGGCAGGTGAAGGCCCAGGGGTACCCCAACATCCTTGCCACTGCTTCGCTCCATGGTAAGTTTATATTTTCTCTTCAGAGAAACCTCAGACTTTTTTTTTTTTTTTTTTTTTTTTTCATTTTTTCGAGAATTCCCACGTCTTTCTTAATGTACTTGCCTAGCCTAGCCATTGCTTCGCTCCTAGTAAGCTGACTTTCGTTCAAGTGCTGTCTCTCCGTCTCTATCCCTCACTATCCATCTCAGTCAGAACCGTGAGTCAATGACTGAGAGCCGGCCAAGTGTGTGGCAAGGCTGAGAGACGCCAACACCAGCAGCAATTGAACTTCCTTTCATGGTTCGACTGTCTCCCCCTCCCTCCCTCCCTCCCTCCTTCCCATGACAGACCAAAGAGTGAACTACTGGGAACCTGCCAAGTGGGTGGCACGATTAAGAGATGCCAACACAAGCAGTGATTCAGTGGTGTTGCTGCGGTGTGAGATGGACGCTGGGCATTTCAGCAAGACAGGGAGGTGAGTGAGGGAGCGAGGGAGTGAGTGAGTGAGAGAGATGGAGAGCGAGTGAGTGAGTGAGTGAGCGAGTGAGGAAGGGAGCGGAGAAGGGGATGAGAGACGCCAACACAAGCAGTGATTCGGTGGTGCTGCTTCGGTGCGAAATGGACATTGGGCACTTCAGCAAGACAGGGAGGTGAGTGAGGGAGTGAGGGTTGTGAAGGAGAGAATGAGTGAGGGGGTGAGAGTGAGTGAGAGACGCCAACACAAGCAGTGATTCGGTGGTGCTGCTTCGGTGTGAAATGGACATTGGGCATTTCAGCAAGACAGGGAGGTAGAGTGAGGGAGGGAGTGAGGGAGTGAGATAGCGAGGGAGTGAGGGAGTGAGTGTGCGTGAGTGAGTGGAGGAAAATGAGAGTGAGTGAGAGACGCCAACACCAGCAGTGATTCGGCGGTGCTGCTGTGGTGCGAGATGGGTGCTGCTGTGGTGAAGGATGGGTGCTGCTGTGGTGCGAGATGGGTGCTGGGCATTTCAGCAAGACAGGGAGGTGAGTGAGTGAGGGAGAGAGGGAGGGAGGGGGCGAGTGGGTGAGTGAGTAGAGGAAGGTTTTGACTGAAAGAATGTTGTATGACCTCTACAAACCACTAATTACCACTGAGAATACTCACAACGTGAATACAACCACGCTTGTCTGTGTTCTGTCCGTCCTTGCCGCAGGTTCGATCGCCTTGCTGACGTGGCGCTCCGCTATGCCTTCATTCTCTACACGCTTGGCGTGCACTGATTGGCTCTCTCTCCCTTCTGCCTGCTTGGGACGCGTGACATGGATGGGGCTTCATTTTTTTAGGCACCTCAAAAGCCACCAAGTGACTTTTGAGTCCACTTAGAAAGTGACATGAAGCCACCTGGTGGTTATCTCTTTGCACTTTTGTTGGGGCCTTCCACAGTTGTCTCTTCACAGTGACATGAAGCTTCACTTCATTGTGACGTGAAGCTTCACTTCACTGTGGCTTGAAGCTTTTAATAAAGGTGGTGTATTCTTGAGGCGCCTAAATAATGCCGCGTTTGGGGCATGATTTTTCCCTCAAGCGGGTGTACCGTGTATGGTAAATCCAATCAATGCATACACTGGGGAATGATTTGGGTAATTCTTTGGTCTTGACCTGAGATGAGTGATCCCAGCCTACAAGGATGTACGCCAAGCGATGCGTACATGTGATTCTGACAGTACTCTACTCCTGCCATGGGTGATTGCGGACTTGTGTCTCCTGTGTCGATTTAACGGTGGCACTCTGACGTCCGACAATGATGCAAAAGAGAGATGCCAATCTGAATTACCGTATTTGGATACACACGGGCACAATCACAGCAGAAGCATTTATCACTCATACAGAAAGCAGAATCAAAAGCTGGTAAGACCTTGGCTTGGCTGTCAACTCTACAAGAGTGTAACCTTGTAACGCATAACCATCCCTGCAGCGAAGATACATGATTCTTAACACATGTGTGCCCCTAGCAGATGTTTGAAGGGAAATCACACCACCCGGAAGCACCCCTTAATCCTGGCAGGAGGCATGATGAGGGCAGGGAGTAGGCAAGCGTGAATTAACCAGGTCTTGAAAGTCAACAGGAGTCAAGGTATGGTACTGATTGAGAACAAACAAGGGGTGCTGAGAAATAATTAGTCATATTTAAGGGGGATAAGGTCTTGAAAGTCAATGGGTCAGCAGTAGTCAAGGTGTGCACCAGCAGGGGAGGGGAGGCTTGCGCACTTCAGCGGATATGTTGTTAGAGAGCCAGCAATAGACTTTCCACAAGGTCAGAAAAGTCAGCAAGAGTCAAGGAGGGTAGAGAATGCACCAGCAGGGGAGGGGAGGCTTGCACACTTAAGCGGATATGTTGTTAAAGAGCCAGTGAAAGACTTTACACAAAGTCAAGAAAGTCAACAAGAGTCAAGGAGGGTAGAGAATGCACCAGCAGGGGAGGGGAGGCTTGCGCACTTTAGCGGATATGTTGTTAGAGAGCCAGTCGAGCCCCTCATACAGCCCTTCACCAGAGGTGGCACAGGTGCTCTGAATGTACCTGAGGGGGGGCCATAATGGAGGCAGGACAAGAGGGGGAGAGAAGGATTGAGGGAAACAAAGAAAGTGATATTCCCCTGACATGGCACAAGTGGTATGAATGTATGTAGCTGGTGGTGGGGGTGGGGTGTTGGGCAGAGAAAAGAGGTGACTTTTGAAAATTCTCAAAAAATCCCTGAGTCGACTCAAAAGTCACCTAATGTAGCTGGTGGTGGGGGTGGGGTGTTGGGCGGAGAAATATTTTTGAGTCGACTTAAAAAAAAAGGCACAAGTGCTGTGAATGAATGTGCCTGGTGGTGGGGGTGGGGTGTTGGGCAGAGACAAGGGTGGAGACAGACGAGGAGAGAAGGGAAAGGGTGCGTAGTAATGGAGTGAGAGAGATGAGAGAAAGAGCCTACACACACATGCGAGCAAGCGCGCGCACACGCACAAACACATGCACAAATACAAACAGCAATACCAGCAGTGTGGAAGAGGAAGGGCCACAGGGTAGGGCTATAGACACAGGAGGAGGGAAGGCCCAGACACACACACACACGCACATGCACACGTGCAAGCGTACCAGGTGCGGTGGCGCAGCGAGTGCAGGCCGAGCTTGTCGGTGATCTCAGCAGCGTTCATCGCATTGGGGAGGTCTTGCTTGTTGGCAAAGAGGAGCAGCGCTGCATCACGCAACTCGTCCTGCAGCAGACGGGAGGTGAAAGGGCAGATGAAAGAAAGGGCACAAGGGATGTAGGCAAATATGATCGCATTGGGAAGGTCTTGCTTGTTGGCAAAGGCCAGGAGAGTAATGCCATGTAACTTGTCCAGCTAAGAATCTCGAATTGGAAGGTCCCGCTCGTTGACTGGCGTTGACCAGCGTTGACTGGCGTTGACCAGTAATGACTGGCGTTGGCTTCAGTCGACAAGAGTTGATCAGCGTTGACTGGCGTTGACCAGCATAGCCTCACCTCGTTGAGCATGCGGTGCAGCTCGTCTCTCGCCTCCATCACTCTCTCCCTATCGTTGCTGTCCACCACGTAGATGAGCCCTTGGGTGTTCTGGAAATAATGCCTCCAGAGGGGGCGAATCTGGGGGAAAAAGAAGGGAGAGAAGGGAAACAGAAGGGGGAAAATGTAAGTCAGATTTTATTATACCTCCGAAGAGGGGGAATATGCTGTATCCACGTTCAACTCAACAAAGTAAGCACAAGTCAGAAACGCAAGTTAACGGAGCCAAGTCATCGCAAGTCAACACGCGATCCAGTCAACGCAATTCAAAAGAAGCCAACAGAATTGAGTCAACACAATCCAACGAGGAGTCGTGTCAACGCCATAATGAAAGAATCAGAGTCAGCACAAGTCAACAAGGAGTGAAGTCAGCACAAGTCAACGGAGCCAAGTCAGCACAAGTCAACAGAGCACCAACAAAAGCCAACAGAGTCAAGCCAACGTGGCTAATTACCTTATCTTGCCCTCCCACGTCCCAGACAGTGAAGCTGATGTTCTTATACTCTACTGTCTCCACGTTGAAGCCTGCAGTACAGTCACAGTAGGTGCACATAGAGGAGATAAAGCAGGAATGAGAACCTGCATTCCATCACAGATATAGTGATCATCCGACCCCCCACATCCTTAACAGACTCACTTACCGATAGTGGGGATGGTAGTAACGAGTTCGCCCAGCTTGAGCTTGTAGAGAATGGTGGTCTTGCCAGCCGCGTCCAGCCCAACCATGAGAATGCGCATGTCCCTCTTGCCCACCCTGCTTGCTCTCCCATCCACCTGCCCCCCTACTGTTTGCCCTCCCACCCACCCACACCTCTACCAGATGCACGCACCAATAGTGGGGATGGTTGTAACGAGTTCGCCCAGCTTGAGCTTGTAGAGAATGGTGGTTTTCCCAGCAGCATCCAGCCCAACCATGAGAATGCGCATGTCCCTCTTGCCCACCCACCGCGCAAACAGCTTCGTGAACGTCAGACCCATAGTTGAAGTGAGGCTTGACTTGATTGAGATGCTTATATTTCTAAGGAGGAGAGCTTGCAACGAGACTTTTACGAAACAGGTGCTGCTGTCCTGGAAAGTAGAAGCTGTGATATAAGCAGTTGCTGCAGAGCAGTTATTACTGGCGGAGCTCAGGGTTGCGCCAGGGGCAATTGGCGGAGCTCAGGGTTACACAGAGGCAAATGGCGGAGCTTAGGGTTCCGCCGGTGGGAATCACCCGCAATTTTCATTCGCACGGAATGCTTGCGCGTTGAAAATGGGCAGGGATGCATCGGCAGGAGGAAAGGTGAGGAACGATGGGAAGAGGGAGGACGAGGGCCGGAGAGGTGGGGGAAGAGGCGGGGGAAGAGGTGGGGAGTTTGGACGGGGGTGAAGATTGGGGAAAGGGAATGCGAACCCCCGGTGCGAGACGGAGATGGGAACGCGCAAGCACCTTTCAGCATTCCGCACGTGCCGCGGAACGGGCTTCCCAGAACCTTCCGTGCGCTCCGCTGACTTTCCAAGGGAGTTCTCATTCTCGAAACAGCTGCTATGCTACCGTCGGATCTTTGAGACAACTCTCCCCGACCGTTGATCGACATCATTGTCTATTGAAACGAGCGGCCCGCTAACAATCGAACAAGCGGGAAAAGGTCTGTATCTGATTCGCGATTGATCGTCATTGCCTGAAGCTGATTGGAGGCGTGACGTATCATTCTAGGCTTCGATTGTTGACGCTGATCGCCGCCTTTCAGACTCCGACCAGCGGAACTGCTGCTAGTTCCCCACGTGGCCACGTGGCGACGTGACGGCGTATGGTCGGCTCGGATTGGGGCCATACATCGGGCCACACGTGACGGCGGATGCGCGCAATCCGCACTGCCGCCCAGCCGGGCGCGCCGCGCACCTGGACGAATGGAGTGCGTTATCGTCGGGATTAAATTTCCGCCAGCCATGTCCGCTCATGGTGGCTTTCTAGGGTTTCGACGGTGGGGAATGAGGGGAAGAAAGGAGTTAAAGCGCAATTGGCGCATCGCGCGGGACAAGAAAAGCATTTTCCTTCCCAAGCTGGCGGGGCTGCGGGTATGATCAAAATTGGCGAATTCGCACTCAACTTCTCCGATTGGTTACGTGTTGTCGCTCGACAGGCCTGATGGTTACAGAGTGAAGTCGTCGCGAAGCACGGTTAGCCTGCGCGTTTCGTAACGGAAAGTGGAGCAGGCAGGCAACTCCACCTGATAAAAAAGCGCTCGCGAATAGTACGCACGACAGATAGGAGCGGTCGCACACCTTCACACCCACGTCATTCAGCCAATAACAAAATTCGGATGCGCATGAGTCCCTCTTCCCACGTGGTAACCCTTTCGTTTGCGTCTCACCTCAACAATCGCCTATCTCTCGTCAGAAACTTCCATCTGCCTTCTGCTTCGGGTCGCGTTTCAATGCGCGCATCGAACCAATCCGAGACGCACATTTCGCATTTCCCATTCACAACCATTTTCAAAATGTTCTGCAAGTCCCACGCACTCTCCGCCCTCCCCTCTCCCCGCTTTTGCACTTTTTTTCCGCACCACGTGACTCACATGGTGCTACTGCGCACCTCCTTATCTGCGCCAAGTCGGCGCAAGAAATGCTGCAGCGCTGCAGCGCGAGCGCATTCAGGTGCGCGCCCCCCTCTGGCACTTCACCCCACTAGGATGTGCTCCAAGCCCACCAGCGGGAATAGATTGTTGCCGTGTTCAGATAGGTTTTCGAAAGATAAAGGGTCAGGCGGCCAGCTCACTCCCAGTATCCAACTTTGCTTGATCCTGCTTCGATGAACCCACACAAAATTTGAGCCAATATTAGCTACAGCCTCTGCTCTTCAACTGACACTTTTGGAAATCGAGCCCTACCTGCCTCACTGCTTGTCTTTTATCTTCCGACACTGTTACAATCCCATTTCAGCAAAGCCTTTTCACCTTCGAGTTGAATACGTCCTGCATCATGGGTAACCTACTCGCAAGGGCCTTCGCAGCGCTTATAAACAAGCGAGACATGCGCATTCTCATGGTGGGGCTGGACGCGGCGGGCAAGACCACCATTCTCTACAAGCTCAAGCTGGGCGAAAACGTCACCACCATTCCCACCATTGGTTAGTAATGTTGCTTCTGCTGGTGCAAGCAACTGGTTGGTTTGTCTGACAAATCATCCGCACCTTCTTACAAACCAGCTAGTAGCCCCATACAGTTACAACCTACTTTTCCCTCCACTTCTACTCACTGTGACTGTATCGCAGGCTTCAACGTGGAGACCGTGGAGTATAAGAACATCAGCTTCACTGTGTGGGACGTGGGGGGCCAGGACAGGGTAAGTTCCCAAGTACCTCCCCCTCTCCATATCCCTCTCTCTCCCTCTTCTTTACTCTTTTTGAGTCGACTCAAAAATCGACCTATCACACACGTGGGGAGCCAGGACAGGGTGAGTCCTGTGTACCTCGCCCTCTCCCTATCCCTCTCTCTCCCTCTTCTTTCACTCTAATTCTGCCTGCTCTCTTCACCCACTGTGAATGCATACCTATGTTCAGCATGCTGAAGGTTCGTCTTACGTTCAGCTCACCGTACATCAACCCTCCTTTCCCACTTCTCCAGATCCGCCCTCTGTGGAAGCACTACTTCCAGCACACCAACGGACTCATCTTTCAACACAAGTCAACCAAAGTCAACCCCCTTCTTCCCCCACCCCCAGATCCGACCTCTGTGGAAGCACTACTTCCAGCACACCAACGGACTCATCTTTCAACACAAGTCAACCAAAGTCAACCAAAGTCAACCCCCTTCTTCCCCCCCCCCCCAGATCCGACCTCTGTGGAAGCACTACTTCCAGCACACCAACGGACTCGTGACGGACGGCCCAAGTCAACCCAAGTCAGCCCAAGTCAACTCAAGTCAAACCTCTTCCCTCCCCACCTGTCCAGGTCCGTCCCCTGTGGAAGCACTACTTCCAGCACACCAATGGACTAATCTTCGTGGTGGACAGCCCAAGCCAACCCAAGTCAGCCAAGTCAACCCAAGTCAATGCTCTTCTCTCACCACCCCTCCAGATCCTTCCCCTGTGGAAGCACTACTTCCAGCACACCAATGGACTAATCTTCGTGGTGGACAGCCCAAGCCAACCCAAGTCAGCCAAGTCAACCCAAGTCAATGCTCTTCTCTCACCACCCCTCCAGATCCGTCCCCTGTGGAAGCACTACTTCCAGCACACCAACGGGCTTATCTTTGTGGTGGACAGCAACGATAAGGACCGAGTGGCAGAGGCGCGGGACGAGCTGCATGCCATGCTCAGCGAGGTGAGTCAATGCAAGTCAATGCAAGTAAATGCTGTGGAAGCACTACTTCCAGCACACCAACGGACTCATCTTTGTGGTGGACAGCAACGACCAAGACCGAGTGGCGGAGGCGCGGGACGAGCTGCACGCTATGCTCAGCGAGGTGAGTCAATGGAAGTCAACGCAAGTCAGTGGGAGTCAATACATGCCCGTGCACACCAACTGACTCATCTTTGTGGTGGACAGCAACGACCGAGACAGAATGGCAGAGGCGAGAGATGAGCTCCATGCTATGCTGAGAGGGGTGAGTCACTGCAAGTCAGTGCGAGTCAATGCGAGTCAACAGGAGTCAATGCGAGTCAACAGGAGTCAATGCAGACCAACGGACTCATCTTTGTGGTGGACAGCAATGATAGGGACCGAGTGGCAGAGGCGCGAGACGAGCTCCATGCGATGCTCAGCGAGGTGAGTCAATGGAAGTCAATGGGAGTCAAACATGGGTGAACACTCATCTTTGTGGTGGATAGCAACGATAAGGACCGAGTGGCGGAGGTGAGGATGAGCTGCATGCCAGCCACGTGAATTTTACTTTTGAGAATTCTCAAAAGTAAAATTCATGTAGATGAGCTGCATGCCATGCTCAGTGAGGAAAGAGTCAACGGAAGTCAATGGCAGTCGATGAGATCAATGTGACAAGGTGACTGGTTGGGGGGAAGAGGTGATAGACAAATCGGACAGTATGGGCAAAGTCAATGCGGGTCAATGCAGGTCAAATAATGTTCTCCACCTCCTCTTCCCCCACCACGCTTACAGGACGCATTGAGGGACGCAGCGCTGCTGGTGTTTGCCAACAAGCAGGACCTTCCCAAGGCGATGAGCGCAGCTGAAATCACCGACAGCCTGTCTCTGCACTCTCTCAGGAGCAGGAACTGGTGAGCTGACCAACGTGCATCTCTCACCGACACGCGTCCCCTCACGTCCACCACACATGTCCCACAAAGACACAACGCAACGCAACTAGTGCTGGTGAGATCACCGACAGCCTGTCTCTGCACTCTCTCAGGAGCAGGAACTGGTGAGCTTCCAAACACGCGCCCCTCACCAAAGCGCATTTCTCGCAAACACGCATCACCTCACCAACACACATCCCCTCCCAAGCATGGATCTCCTTACAAGCACGATTACCCCTCCACGGCACCTGTGCCGCGTCAGGGGAATATCACACCACACCTTACTCTTAATAACACACCCTAACCCCTCCTCTCCCCCTCCACAACCCCTCTTCCCCATTTCCCTCCCCCCCAACCCCCAAACAACTCATCAGGTACATTCAGAGCACCTGTGCCACGTCAGGAGAAGGCCTCTACGAGGGCCTTGAATGGCTTATTACACGCCCTCACCCTCTCTCTCCCCTATCTACCCCCCGCCTTTTCCCTTCCCCCCCATCAGGTACATTCAGAGCACCTGTGCCACGTCAGGGGAAGGGCTCTACGAGGGTCTTGACTGGCTCGCCAAGAACATCAAACTCAAGGTAATACAAACATATCATACCTCTGACTTTTGAGTCGACTCAAAAGTCAACTCTACGAGGGTCTTGACTGGCTCGCCAAGAACATCACACTCAAGGTAATACAAACATATCATACCTCTACAGTATAATATACATATACATGTAATCTAGTTTTTGTTTATCCCT